CCCCAAAACCCCAAAACCCCAAAACCCCAAAACCCCTTTAATTAACAATAAACCTGATATTTATATTAAATATGGACACCAGTAACATCTTGCTGGATTCTCGGTATAACCTCTAAATAATGTTTCAGAAGTTCTGGAGAGACCAATACTCAGGAAGCCAAAGATCCAAATAAAGAGATCTTCACAGGTAATTCAACTCAGAAGCAACTCTTTAGGTCTCTCTAAAAGCAACGAAAAGTCTGTGAACCAAGCGCAGACGAATTCAGCTTCAGGAGCTCAGAGCTCAGTTCAAGATTTAATGTATTTTTAAGGAATCATCCCAAATAGCTCTAAAGGAGAGGTGAAAATGAAGGAAGAACCTATTATGGCAAAAATAAGGGATAAATTTTCCAAAAATGAAGAGTCTAAAAATACCTCAGACCCAAATACCTCAGATATTAAGTAAATTCGATTATTTACATTTAAAAGCGCTTTGACTTATGCATCTCATCCTTATGAGCAGTTCCAAAAAGTAGCTGGGAAGAATACCGAGTACTTGCCACAAATCTTGAACTGTGAAGGGATTAAGACATTTATTCTCCCAAAACAGTATGCTTTGAGGAGATTTGACATAATTCAAGATCATATTGATAAGGAGTTCAATGACCGCAATATGAGAAATGTCCTCTGAGAGACCCAATTCGAGTATGCCAAGGTACACAAGTGAAGACGCTTTGGTGAATGCCTCTGAAGGGTATTTGCCAGAGATTTACTCCAACTTGCGTATTACAAGCAGATACAGAATGTTCACAAGTACCTTGAGAGGTGAGTTTTGTGTGATGTTTTGTAGATTTTTCTTAAAGCCTCAAGTGTATTTGCCATTTCAGGAACTCTTGCTATGGCTCCAGCTCGAAATTGGACGAAGGAATTATAAGCAAGCTGAAGCAATTATGAACAAATATATTTCCTATACTACAAATTTGGTCAATGATGAGACTAAAAATGTGGTTTCTCTAGAGTTAAAAATTCAAAATGGGCTGAAAGATCGTTGGAAAGCAAATCCAGAACTGCTTGAGCTCTATGAATCTCATTACTTCAAGCTCATTGATGTATACATTTTCGATATTTTGTTGCCTGATCGAGGATATGATCAGACAAAGAATGTATTGCTTAAAGAAATAGCAATGGAGAAATCTCTCAAACTCAAATATTTAGATAAAATTAGTGATTTCTACATTAGCTCGATCAGAGAGACTAGTCTCATGCACGGTACAAAAGCTATTGAGCAGCTGGACAAAGCTAGTTTCAAGGCTAAGCTGAAAAGCAGAGTTGATCAAATTCGAAAAATAGATGAGAGTCAGAATGAAGGGAGGGAAGATCAGCATCTCCAAAATTCTTTATTCCAAAACACATTTAATCGTCAAAGATTTGAGCAATCTAAGCAAAGCTTGGAAGAACCAGAAAAGCCTGCATTTTTAGATATTTTAAAGCAGAAAACTAAGGTTAGTCCAAAGACATTCATTGTGATCATGGCAATTGTGTTTGCAATCTGGCTATGGAGAGGTGGGCATAAAAAGCTGAGAAAATTCAGCACTTACAAATTCATCCTAACCCATGTATTTGGTATTAAGAGTAAGAAATAAATCATTCAATGAAAATGATATTAATAGGGGTTTTGGGGTTTTGGGGTTTTGGGG